GACTCTGTAAACTGCTTAGAGAGGCTGAAAGCCCTATGAAGCGGTATATAAGTCTAACTGCTATTGCTATTGCTATCCCCACCATGGCCAAGCCCACCCAGCAACTGGGCAGAGAACCCCTTGCTAAAATGTTTGCAGCCCACTTCTGAGTTAAAGTCACTGTTTTTTTTCAGTGTTATTTTTCAACCTAACCCTATATGAGATATGTAACAGTGTTATTGTCAGTCTTAACTACAAACTTTGTGAATGAACTATATACATTGTAAAGCAATGGAAATAACATGTCATCATTTAGATTAAATAAGGTATATTAATCTACATTAATTGTGATCACCTTGCTCATTTATTTCCTTTAGGACACCCCTTCTTATTAGCTCCTCTCTGCTCTGCCTTGTTGATATCTTTCTTTCCAGCACTTAAAAAAATAGAGAAATTAAGACATTATTCAGTAAAGACTAAACTAAGACAACAAAAAAAATTAAGTAAAGGTAATTTTGGCTTCCACATTTATTATTTAGCAGTATTAGAATGAGGACGAGAATCTAATTGCAAGGAAGTGTTTGAAGGAAGAGTGGATAGGTCAAAAGGAAGGAGAATAACAGGAAGCAGTTGATGAATTGCTGAAAAAGAGAAAATTGAGGATTTAAATAGCAAAAATCAATATATAGAGCAGTACATGAAAAGTACGTATATCTATGTAATTACCTAATAAGGTGTATTGGTCAGAAGATAATGCTATGGAAAGGTAGTAAGCAAATGTATATGACTAGATTTATACATTCTCTGTTCAAGTACAGAAGCTGCATTAACTATGTTTTTATTTGTGCTGAATACAAGTATTTCTGTCTTAAAATAGAAGTTAAATGAAAATTTAAAAATAATATACTTCTGAAAACTAAAACATCACTTATAGCCTCATGGTTCAGGAAATTTTCTTGTACAGATTCCCTTAGCTAGTCTATTCAATATCACTAGCATATGTCATAACAAATAGACAACATGATTCATATTCTCAATAATTAATTTCAGCCAATTTTTGTACCAGGGAACTTTCCTAAACATTTCTTATGCTTTGAAGGACTAAATCAGCCCCCCCTCAACCCCCAGTCTGTGGACTAGTACCAGACCGTGGACTTTTGGAAACTGGGCACACAAGTGGCAGACAAGTACATAAAGCTTCATTTGCATGTGTAAAACCATCCTTTCCATTCCTCTCACTCCGCTATGGCTGTTGGTCCATGGAGCCAGAAAGGTTGGGGAACCACTGCACTAAATTATTAACAATGTAACCTATGCTTTCAATGGCTATATTTTATAGTGATATACTATATACAGCAAATTATGATGCAAAAGGACGTTGGTCTTACCTGAACGTCTCTTTTCGGAGGGGAGGAGGGAGTGGTCACGTGTGGGTTTTAACTTATCCTGATTGGTCGAAGACTGAGAGCAAAGTTATAAATACTGGTGCCTTCCAATCCTGGCCCAGATTCTCGAAGATGAACGGTACAACTGAAATGACAAAAACAACAACACAACAAACCCCGGGAACGCCTGGGCCCTCCCCTTGGCCCCAANTTTGCTCTTTGTCTAGTCGCCCCCAGCCTTGGAAGGCCTTGGGGGAGGGGGGTAAACTCTAACCTGATTGGAGGCTCTTCTGTCCCTCCATTGAGAGCTGCAACCTTTAGCAGCCGGGCTGATTACTCCTCCCCTCTCTGCTTGTGTTTTTCCAGATTGCAGGGGGCTGCCATCTTGGGCCACGTGGGGCCTCTCCTCCCACTTTTTCCCAAATGGCTCTGCGGGGCAAATACCATAGCCCCGCCCTCAAGAATTAGCAACAAAAACCACAGCTTGTGCTACTAAGAACTGCTGACCGGCCTCCTTCTGAGAGCCTTCTCGGTGCCCCTCTTTTCTCCTACTTAAAGGAGAGTGTTCTTAAGGGGGAAGCCTCTGGAATTCTCCTGTTGCTTGGCAGTCAGAAAAGGGACCGAAATGGGCCTACATACATCGTGCGGCAAGGTTGCTGTAACACCGGAGGACAAGCCGAAGGGGATCCTCCCCTGGCAGGGGGGAGTTCTCAGGTTGGGTGGGGGGTTCTTCCTGCTGCAAGCTTGTGGCCGCTGCCTCTGTGATTCATCTAGGAGGTAGGCTTGGAGGGGTGGGGATTGATCCACCGCCTGCCTCTTTAACCTCCTTGATAAACCTCCTTTTGGCCCTTTGCTGCGTCCCCCGCCCTTGGCTAATGCCTCTGCGATGGTTCCTCACTTTTTTAAGGGCTCCTCAGAGCCTCCGGTGGTGGTGTTGCTGGGGGGCTGAGAGCTGGGCTCCTGCTGGCCTCTTCTGAGCTGCTGGGGGCTGCCATCTTGGACCACATGGTTTCAAGATGGGCCCCGGCTCCAAATTCAAAAGGCTCCTCTTTGCTGGAGTACATGGCTTGTGCCTTTGCAGGCTGCCATGTGGCTGCTGCTGCCACTGCAGGCTGTCTCTCTCGCCTCCCCCTACCTCCCGCAGCTCTTTCTGAGCCTCTCTGGCTCTCACCTTGTTCACTGGTGATAGCTGCCAGCGCAAGCTTTCCAGGGCGTTTTAACAACCCGCGGTTTGTGGCTCAACTCCTGAGGGGAGCGGAGGAGTGCTCCTGCTCCTGAGAAGCCTCTGCGGCAAGGGCTTGCCTCTAGGAAGTATGTGCCCTGTCCTCCTGCTTCCCCAGCAAAGGTCCTCACTGAGTGACTCCGTCTCACTCAGTGGCCAGGGCAGCGTGCCGCTCCAGGGGGCTTGTGGCAGTCCAGTCCTTGCAGCAGGAGGCTGTGCACGATGTAGGCAGGCAGGATTCACCGGGCTCCAAGTTTATTTTCCTTAATCCTTTGTAAATTACTGGAGGTCCAGAGTGGTGCATCCTTTCCATTGAGTGGATGACTCAAATATGGGGAAGTCCTGCTGGCCAGGGGGCGTTGCCCAAAGAGCTTAACTGACTCATCCAATCATGAGAGGACAAGGTCAATCCACTCTGGATACTTCTCCCCCCTCACTATGGAGAATGTGCACATTTTGCCGCCCGTATCGCCACTAGATAAGTCCTAATAAAGGCTCTTAGTAGTGTTCGGTCGGATTCGGAGTTGCTAGTCCTCCAGTGTCGCTCTAGGTGTCTCTTTTGATGCTTCATCTCCCGGAGTTCCTTGGTGAACCAAGGCGCCCTCCTGGATCCACTGCTGCGGAGAGGCCG